GTGCTTTAAAAGTAAAATCTTAAATCTTTTTTTTTTTTTTTCTCTGCAGCCACCATGAAAATAGCATCTTTCAACATCCAGAAGTTTGGAAAAAACAAAGTGTCAGACCCAGATATCCTAAATATCCTGGTTAAGGTAACAACACACACACACACACACACTATGACCTGCTTTTTTACATGTAAAACAGTGTTTTAAACTCATGATTGGCTTTTGTCACGCTACCGAATATAAAATAAATAAAATAAATAATATCAAGATTCATGACTTTTTGTTTAAAGACGAGAAACCAGAAATTTTAACAAAACAACAAAATGGAATCGCGCCTCTCTCTCTCTCTCATCTCTCTCCTCGCTCTCTCTCTCTCTCTCTCTCTCTCTCTCTCTCTCTCTCTCTCTTGCCTCCCAGATTATTGCATTATCTATTCCTGATGTAGTGACATCATTGGTGGATCTGGAGGGTGGTGGACATCAGCGCGAATGATTCTGTAAAAATCCTCCTGGATGCACTCAACAAGTGAGTCTTTATTGTTATTGTTATTTAGATCAAGATGTCAGTTCCTCAACATTGCAGTTTTCTACATGTAGTGCAACTTACGGCAAAATAATGAAAGCAAGACTAAAGCCTCACAGAGTCCCTGATGTTAGGTTGCTAATATGCTAACAATGCTAAACCATGTTCACCATATTAGTTTAGTACAGCTGAGACTGATGGGAATGTTAGTATAGTTTTGCAGGTGTTTGCTCATAAACCAAAGTAATGGACAAATTAGAAGTTTGACCTGATGATGGCGCTAGATAAAAATTCAGAAGATCACCAAAGTGAACATAAGTTTGATCTAACTTTGAAGCTATGCTGTCTGTCTGTCTGTCTGTCTGTCCAGATCCAACAGGACACATCACTACACTCTGAAGATCAGCAGTCGTCTGGGCCGAAAGCAGTACAAGGAGCAGTTCATGTTCCTGTACAGGTGAGCGTTCACCTGCAGCAGATTCTCACTGACTCCCCATAAATATGACCAACTGAGTTATAAAGGAGGTCAGAGTCTGTACAGCAGTTTGTCAGTACATCACTTTGGGACAGAGTTTCCCAAACCACTAGGGGTCACCAAAGCGTACAGTTAAAACAATCAAAGAGCTAACAGAACAAAGCTGTTCAAAGCTAGCCTCAAAATGATCTGAGCTCTTAAAGCAACAATCTTTTAAACACTCACCTCTTGTAGACATGAAAAACATTTGTAGCAGAATTCAAGTTAGATGATAATTCTGAAGCTGCATCAGAATAATCAAAATATGATGTAGTAATTTGTGCGTGTGTATGTGTGTAGGGATGACATGGTGGACTTCGTGGAATCCTATCAGTATGACGACCAGATGACTGAAAGTGGAGACGTTTTCGCTAGAGATCCCTACATCCTGCGATTCAGATGCCTCAACACAGGTAAATGATGTCTGTCATGCAGAGAATAGAATAAATAAATGTTTTTAGAGAGGAAGAAATATCGTCAGAAAGATATAAACACTTTGTTCTAAAGGGGTGTGTGTGTGTGTGTGTGTCCACCACAGTGCTGAAGGACCTAGTGATGATCCCAGTTCACACCAAACCAGACGACTCGGAGAAGGAGCTGGATGAACTCTACGATGTCTTCCAGGACGTCAAGAAGAAGTGGAGAACCGATGTAAGGACATGACATCGTCAATGCACTGACAGTGCTAACAATGCAATCAATCAATCAATCAGTGATCTAATACAGTCATTCCCAAACACGGTTCCAGTATCCGAGGGGATGAAGCAGCTGAACTAATAAAAAAAAAAAGTCATGTCTGTCAGAAAAATATGCACCTCTTTAAAATAAGTTTTATTTTATAACAATTCAACATTATGATAAGTAAAAGTGTTGTTAGAGGCACATTAGGCCACTGTTGTTGTGGTTGTGGTTGATGTTCTTCCACCTTTTTGCTCTAGAACGTGATGATCCTGGGCGACTTCAATGCGGACGGCCTGTACGTCTCCAAGAAGGAAATGAAGGGCATCCGTATCCGTAGCGACAAGAACTTCCACTGGCTGATTGGAGATGATGTCGACACCACGGCGAGCAACCGAAACGACCACACATACGACAGGTAACTGGAAAATGTAATGTCATTGTCCATATAAAAGGATAACCTACTGTATGTAGTGTGGACATCTCGAGAGACTGACTGTTCTTGTCTATTCAGGATAGTGGTTTACGGAGACGACATGCTCCAGGCTGTGGTACCAAACTCTGCCAAACCCTTCAACTTCCAGAAGGCCTATGGACTCAGTGAGGAGCAGGTCTGTTGTCATTTCACCAAACTTAATTAATTAATTATTGTGCTGTTCTTAAGAGCCTTAGTCTTAAAGTGTGACCTCAGCATTACAGAACAGGTTATAAAATCACCAAATTCAATTGGGTGGTACCGGCTATTCATTATTTGTACACAATAGTTGCACCCTGTTAGTGGGTGTAAATATTCTGTAACAAGTAATCTCTACATCAGAACTAGTTTGTGTGGTGCAACCAGTTGTTTAGTGAATCAGAACAGCTTCTGCAGCCGGCACTTGGTTTGATTCTGTCCAACTGAACTTGGTTCACATTCATCTAGAATAATATAATGACTCACACAATTTAATTTAGCATTCATTGTCAATCAATAAATAATGGTTTGTTTTGCAGGCTCTGAAAGTGAGTGACCATTATCCTGTGGAGGTGGAGATAAAGTCCATAAATAAGAAAGCGGATGAAAAGGATGGTAACCAGCACAATTAACTTTTTACCATTATGTGTGACTGCTGCTACTAATAATAATTGTGTACATCAATGTTTAGTTCTTGTTAAATTATGTTCTGTTGGCAGGTCTGGAACAGAAGCAGCAGATTGAGCCCCGGGGCCTCGTGGTCGTGGACGCGGATCTGCTGGAGCTGAAGAGAGGAAACCTGCTGCTGGAGAGAGAGAAGCTCGGTCTGGAGATCCAGATTCTGCGGGCCAAGATGACCAAGATAAACCAGGAGTGATTTTAAACTGAGGAGGCCGGATCCATCCAAAACACCCAACAGAATAATAAACTCCTAACTTAACTAAACCTTAACTTAACTAAATCACCTACAGAGCCACTCTGTAGTTAAAGGTGAACCAGTGTTCAAGTTGCCCGTCACACCAGACACTGCGTGTTCACTGGACGCTGCAGATGTTCTGGGTGCACACTTACCTCAGGAACCATCCTGATATCTGGATGACTGCTATCCCTCGTCAATATGAACTAACACAACACTTTTCACTTCAGTGTTTTTAATGTTTTGACTGAATCAAGGTGCCACGTTGTCTGTCTTGTTTCCTCCAAGCTGCACTCATGGTGAAATAAAATGTCTGCTGTTACACAAACTAATTCT